AAGAAAGAAAGGAAGAAAAAAAGGAAGACAGAAAAAAGAAATATCGAAAGAACGAAACAATTATAGATATAGAAATACAAATGATTAGATGTGATTTATCATGAGGTTTTGCATGTTACGTCACGCTGTAGAGAAAGTTGTTTCATCTAAAAAAGGAGTTGATATTCTAAGTTGTTATACATATATAACTAAAATCATGATAACAAAATCGATGGCGTGACGTCACAGTGAAAAACCTCGATAAATCCTCATTTCTCAGTCCATACCTCGTCTTCCTGATTTAGGTTGCGCATTACAAGATCTTTTACGAAATCAATCGTAACCGATTCTCCATCGCTCCATAAGCTGAAAAGAGAACAGAATGAATGAACGAACGAACGAACAAATCAGATCAATAATACAGGTGTTATAGCTTACCATTCGTCATCCGACATCTTGATTATATCTATATATTCAGATCAGTCTAATGATATCAATAATAGAAATTATATTCAAAACTATAATAACAACAACAACAATCATTAGGGGTTTTTCTGCTTGGTAAATTATTAGATATCTAAACTAAGTTAAGGTCATGTTTCTCGGACAAATCCGAAACAGAGAATAAACGGAAATTGAAATAAATGGAAGGAATCGGCCTTAGTGAATTATAGAAGAATGACTAGCGCAGCGCGCGAAATTTTATCTATGATCAATACTGAATAAAGGAACAGTCAATGTGGAGCAAAATGAGAGAAATATATTTGCGATTTGTTAAATTTTATCTGTGAAATTCTTTCTGTGAGTTAGCCGTGCCCTGACTTAGATCCGATCAGCTCAGATGTTGTTTCAAGGCTCGATCTGTGAGTTAGCTGTACCCTGACTTTGATCAGCCCAGAGGTTGTTTCAGGGTTCGATCTGTGAGTTAGCTGTACCTTGTCTTAGATCAGCCCAGAGGTTGTTCCAGGGTTCGATCTGTGAGTTAGCTGTACCCTGACTTTGATCAGCCCAGAGGTTGTTCCAGGGTTCGATCTGTGAGTTTAGCCGTACCCTGACTTTGATCAGCCCAGAGGTTGTTCCAGGATTCGATCTGTGAGTTAGCCGTGCCCTGACTTAGATCAGCTCAGATGTTGTTTCAGGCGGTTCGATCTGTGAGTTAGCTGTGCCCTGACTTAGATCAACCCAGATGGGTTGTTTCAGGGTTCGATCTGTGAGTTAGCTGTACCTTGCCTTAGATCAATCCAGAGGTTGTTCCAGGGTTCGATCTGTGAGTTTAGCGCGTACCCTGACTTTGATCAGCCCAGAGGTTGTTCCAGGGTTCGATCTGTGAGTTTAGCGCGTACCCTGACTTTGATCAGCCCAGAGGTTGTTTCAGGGTATCTATACTTATTACTTACTTTCATCACTGAGTGTGATTGGATTTTTACTTAGTTTTGAATATCAATTGATCACCTGCTGAGCAAGGAAACGGCACATTTCGTATTTGCCCACATTAGTTCTAATAATTGTCTGCATTTCTCAAATAATATGTGGTCGCTTGGCAACAGTAAAACTAATTGATTGAAAATTAGATAGAAGCTATCATAGGTAAAATTAAGAAAGAAAAAAAAGCGACGCACTGAAGTAGTTATTGAATAGGAGAATTAAACTGATCAGGAAAGGTGAGGTTGGCGTTGATTGAGGTAATACTCACTCAGTAGCGGTGTGATGTTAGAGGTCCTAGTTGCGAACTAAACCGACAGGTGACTCTTAGTCTCCTTTTTCATGGATGTTACGAGTGTGATCTTGTGCGACGATTAGAGCGCCAAAAAACCTTGAGATTTTATTGACCAAATTCAAAACTCGCACCGGTGTGAGGCTTAAGTTGTGAACAAAGGAATCTGGCGTGATTCGTGACTTTTGAATCACGCCAGATTACTTTGAGTCACGCCAGATCCCTTTGTTCACAACTTAACCCTCACATCGGTGCGAGTTTTGAATTTGGTATTCTAGTCTATGCGCTTTAGATTGTAAGGAATTAGATGGTTGGAACTTGTCTTGTTTTTCCTTTCTTGGCTGATTCTTTTAGAAATCATCATCTTCGTCGTCACTCCTCACGCCACTCCTCACGCCAGAAAACACACGGGGCCTTGTTTTCATAAATGCAGCAAATTAATTCACTAAGGAATCCTTCCGTTTCACGAACTTCAGGTATACTGAATGCTACACTTCACAATCAAGCTTTATTATGAATGAGTTTGAAGCGCAATGCAAGGAAATGGTTAAAATCTTGATATTGAAAAAAAGAAGACAAATAAGCATGACAATAAAAGAATCGCCGCTTATTATAGTTCTTAAGTTTTGATATTTTTGACGTAATAAGAACGAAAATTAAAACAAGAAATAAAAGAAAATAAGCTACTTTCCAAACAACACTTCTATTAAAACCTTTGAAGGCGCGATTACACAAAGCTATTTTCTTTGCAACTTGTCTCGCAACGGCGTTGCGACACAAGTTGCATGGAGCATTGCAGCGTGTAATCTACAGCGAAATTTGAAAAAGAAAGCTAGAAAAGTTGCAGCAATTGTTTGCGTCTCCGTTGCACCTTGTAAGCACTCGTGCAGCTTTTGTCGCAACTTGTGTCCGTGTAATCGCGCCTTAACACGCTACACTGCAATTTGATTTGTGAGGTAGCCGTGCCCTAACTTTCATAGTGTTTCAAGAACATCTGTCTAGTAAAATATGCCATTAAGAATCTTGAATCTAAAGTACCCAGCGACTTGCTGTGATGTTAAAATTCAAATGCCGATAATTATACCTGTGTTTGGAGCTTGATTAAATTCTTTTGAACTGTGTTTTGTGTTGTTATCACTTAAAAACAACCTTGCTTTGAATAATTAACGAAAAACGCTGTACAAAGAAAAATTATACAATGCGCACGAAATTGTCTATCCATTGAGATTGTAAAGTATCTACTTCTTTCCTATTATCGCTCTCTTTTTTCCTTTTCTTAAGTATTTGGTTATTCATGTTGGTAACTTTGTTTTCAGTGGAGCTAGAAACTTTGATGCAAGAAACACACGACGGCGTTAATTAGTTTGGTTAATAGAAGAAAAAAAGTCTTTTTTCGTAATATTATCGTAGCTAGTATAGTTCGATCAAGAACATTAATTGGAAAGTGAATGAATGGATGGGTGGGTGGAAAGAAAAGGGTAGGGATGAGAAGAAAAGAAAATTGATGGATGGAAGTGGTGGGATGAGAACTGTGAAAGGGATGGATGAAGTGGGAAAATAAGAGTGAATGGGCGGGAAAGCAGCTGATGGGATGGGATGGATTTATACAGAAATATATGGTTAGACTAATTGATATCGTTTATTTGGGTGTTTTTAGCCGCAGACCTAGAAAGGTCTGAACTACGTTCACGAAACTACCGAGGAAGTAAAAAAGTGAATTGAACTTTTTGCTATGCAATGGATTTTTACTGGAGAGGACGGTGAGTTATTTTATTATTATTCAAATACAATCTAGCTTAACTTGATTTTGCGTGCTGTGATTGGCTTAAAAATGCCTTACCATGACTGTGTCGTGTGTTCCCTCCGTTTGATATCCAATACAAAAATTACTCTAACCAAGTGTTTTCGGTGTTGTCAAGAGAATATGAACTAAGAGAAGGAATCCTACCTATACAGTTTGATGCTATTTTTAGCTTGGATATATTTTGAGCGAAGAACCCGATTGGTTGATTTCTTGAAGGTAGGCGGCTTCCAGTCTTGCAGTAAACAAAAGCCTAAGTTTTTGTCGTGGACGAAACGAAATATGGCGCTTTTCGTGTTCAAAAACGAGGCATTAAAGGGAAGCATGATTATTGCGCGGGTATGGTAACGAGTTAAAAATAGCATCAATGATTCTAAAAATAGCATCAAAGTGTGCACATTATGGGGCACGGGGATTCCTTCTCTTAGTTCGTTTTCTCTTGGTGTTGTATATATGGCCTCTTTAAGGAGGTAATATCAGCGTTGGTTGTAGGCGTTAACTTGCGCTCAGTTATTAAACAAACTAGATTTATTTTAATCAGCCTGTTTGTCTACTAGCGATTCATAGCACGACCATTGCAAGGCGTTTCTTACTCAGCTATAAATTTTGGCACTTTTAGTTAACCTTGTATATGTATACTCAATGAAAAATCTACAAAGCTTTTCGCTGTTGTATCACAGCGTGGGACAATCACAACAGAGCTAGGCTCCAAACTAAGTGAAAGCCCAAAGATCGAATTAGAATTTAGAAGTTGATTTTTGAAGAGGGAGGAAAACCGGAGAACCCGGAGAAAAACACTCGAAGCACAGGAGAGAACCAACTCTCAGGGTTCGTGCTACTCCTTAAACTCCTTGAAAACTCCTTGAATTTAATTCACGTTTTCAAGGGCACTTGAAAAGCTCTTGAATTTTACGATTTTAGCAAACTCCTTGAAAACTGAATTTTTGCTTTGATCGTTACTTGTATGGTTCTGAAATAGATCTAGTAAGAAAGATCGGAAAATCTGAAAGTCGGCCATGTGCAACCACAGTGTAAAGCCTTGGCATAGTTAACTGAACACACTCCTTGAAAATTCATTTTTGGGTACTTGTATACTCCTTGAATAGAATAGTCCTTGAATTTTAAGTGCTTACATCAGAACGAACCCTGAACTCTATACTCACATACGACATCGATATCGGCAGCACTCGAACTCCTTGAATTTAATTCGAACTCTGGCCGCATTGGTGAGAGGCGGCGCATTAGCAGCGCACGCCACCGGTGCTTCCCTTAAAATGACATTGTTTTCTTGACGTTGAGATTTGAAATAAGTCGGCCCTTAGCGGATGCGTTCATAGGAACGTGATAAAAAACACACTAGATGTTTGTTCAAAGACCAACTGCATGACCACATAGTGAAGTATGAATGAATATAATATCGAGGTATGCCTGTGATTTTGGCCATGGCATATCGTTGTCTTTAATGTACTTTCAAAGCATTCGAATTTTTCGAAGAATCGTACGAGTGAAGCGCAACATACGTTTTTTCCCATTATCTCTCTATCTCTCTTTCCTTTCCTTCTCACTCCTTCCTCCTCCTTTTCTTTACCGTTTTTTCTATTCATGCTCTTCTCTCCTACCTTTTCGTAGTACAATTTCAGCTACTCTCTTAATTCCCCTCCCTTTTTTTTATTTTATTTTTTACGTTTCATTTTCATGTTCTCAATTTACACCTATTTCAAAAATAAAAAATAAAAAAATAAAATAAATGTCGGTCCTAGATCTGACGTGGGTGATCTGAGACTAGACAGGATTTTTGTGGTTTTTATATATTTTTGGCTAAATACGAAAAATCCCATTTCTATTTCAAAGGTCATGTCTCATATTCCAATCTAACAGGAAACTACTTTGTCCTCGGGTTCGGCTGTGAATATATAAGATTTAAAGCCAGCTACTCGGTCTCACGTTTCCGCAGCTCTCCAATAGACAATAGTTTTTTTTGGGATAGGTCAGTGTATATCACGCATATTGACGTCTGTACAGTCGTGTCTCCATGACAATCTTCGTTGAAAGACCACATCACAGTAATACACTCAGCTAATCCTCTGCTATTATGATAGGTGCCCTTCACACCAGGCAGACAAAAGAAAACTTTTCTAATGCTAAGTGGGCTGTCCTGTTTCGCTCTGTGCGTTAGCCTTGTAAACGTATAATAATGTCAACTCTTGAACAGTGATTGACTGGTATTATCATTGGAATATTACTGAAAGTGGTGATCCAGTGCCGGCTATTTGCTCGATAAGTTCCGTAGATAAACTGAAAACATTTGAAAAGCTACGAAGAGGTTTCCTTGGAGCCATGACTTCGAAAAGCAGAAAAAGGTCAGTGACTTTGAATTCACTGGATCCCGCATTTTTCCGCCAAGATCGGCACAAGGAAAGACTTCAAACTTCCAGTATCAATTCTCTTGCTTCTGGAATCGCGTTTTTATCAAATGGATCTAGACCCCGTTCGTGTACATGGCACGGAAATGAAGACCAAAGTGCTCCAATTATTTCAGGAGCATCAAACAACAATAACAACAATAATAACGACGATAGCATCGCTGATGTAAGTGACTTCAATCATGAATGCGAATTCGAAATTAATGAACTATTACGGCAGATCATTACAGAAGAACTCGAAAATGAACTAAGAGGAAAAAACTATGATAGTCCTAGCTGCGTCAAGCAGGCAGCGAAGATAAGTCAGGGTGTGGAAGTTCGAGTAAAGAGCATCTCAAAGACAAACACCAAAGTGGTTGCTGTCGTTTTTATTGGCGAGATTCGCGACCAAGGGATCGAAATAACGAGTCAATGCTTGTGGGATCCATTGACTGATAGTTTTGCTACTGCAAGCTTTCGTAATCATTCTCTTTTTGCTGTTTGTACTGTGTTTACGGTTTCTTAAGCCCACCGGAAAAAAAAAATTTTCTTTGAATTATCTGGGATGGTAATAATCTTCTGTGCCCCTAAGGTAAAAAGAGTTCCTGATAATTTTGATCATGAAGTGGCAAGCTTATTCTGGAGTCATGCTTACATTATTATACTGTGCCAAATGTTGGCAATGATTCGAAGATAAACGATCTGTACAAGACTCCAGGTGATGTACAGTTTTATTAAAAGGAATTCACTCAACTTTGACCTCGTCTTTCACAATATAGACAACAATCTTTTAGTACGCCAAGAAGGTAACGTTAATTACCCCTGCAGAACTGAATAAGAATACAATTATGTAAGATATAAGCAAGATAGAATATTCTGAGCTTGACCTTCATAGATCAACCAACAGCAAAACTCGCACAATTCAATGACAAACTTCTTGTCAACTTTTTTTATGGGTATTTTTTGTGTATGGATATTTTACATAACGTTTTATAGCAATCTAGGTTTTATCTAGAATCTTAAAGCATAATTGAATAACTAAAATATCTTAAATAGTTTCAACGATAAAAGTTGTCTTTGAAAAGTTACAGGACTTGATAATTTTGGTGAAAAAAAAAAAAAATCTGATTTCAAAACAGCTTTTGCAGAACAGAATAGGGTTAGATGTCCCAAATTTCAGTGGCTTAAATCATTGTAGGGCAGCAAGCAAGGAGTGAATGAAAGATTAACTTATAGTTACACTAACTTATTTTAGAAAAAACCTCGAAAAAACAAAGTGCAATATGTTAAGATATGTTGTCTTTGTGACTTGCATTCCGGATTGTGAGCTATAAAAACGCTTTATTTTCATTCAGAAGGAGTAAACTAGAAACTATTTTAATTTAATAATTACACCCTCAGGGAAGTAAGTAAGTTTGGGAACAGATGGTTTGAGTGGAGTTTTGTGCACCGTTTGTATGAACCAACTTCTCCCCCCCNCCCATCCCCCTTCCAAAAACAAAAAACAAAAAAACAATCAACGAAAGCTCAAAATGTCAAAATTCTGATCTGACGTGGTTGCTTAAATCATAAGGTGCTACTTTGTTTGATGCCAACAAAAATGTTTTCCCCCTGCGTCTGTATATTGCCAGGGGTAAAATCAAAATAAGGCGTAGATGACAGATGTGAAGTTTAAGTTTCCAGAAGGAATTAAACTGATCTGAGCTGGCATCTTCGCGTGAATATTTAGTCAGGAACCAGAATTGATTTAATCTCATCCTATTGAGATAAAGAGTGCAAAGAGAGGAACGTAATCAAAAACACAGAGCATCACATTACTGCATCATTTTTCGCAACTTGCAAAGGAGTTTATGATGTCACTGCGATGAAATTGACAACACTACATATCTATTTTTCTAGCGCTTTCCTCTTCTTAAATTAATTATTTTTGATCCCATTAGACCTAACGATGTTTATATTTTATCATAAAAGTTGGCTAAGAGTAATTAAGTGAACCACAATGAGTAATTATCGAACGGAATATGTAAAACAGATGCTTCTGTTCCCTGTTCTTTTTCACACCAACCTGTAAATTAACAAAAAAATGCGCCGAAAAATTCTTTGGAAACTATGGCAGACTTGATGTTATATCATTGGTGTCATCCTTCTAGTATACCATTCATTTTCCTACAAGTCTTATTTTAGGTTTCGCTTTACTAAACAAAGCTAGATGATTTTTTTTTTCGTGGTGTAATTCTTGCAACTGTTGGCAGATTCACACACCTGAAACTAAATATCAATAAAACACTCCGTAACTATTATCAGAGTTTACTAATTAATTTGCCAGCTTCAAGTTGTTATTGCGTTTTTAATTCAAGTATTTTTCACAAGGTCCACCCCATCAAAATTAAACCAAGGAAGCTAAAATCAAATTCAATCTGTGAAATGGTATCTGTGAGTAATAGTCGTGCCCTGACTTAGTTCATCCCAGAGGTTGCGGTTTCAGGGTTGAACAAAATTTGAAGGTTTTGTTTAAAGTAATAATACTGCGATTTGATTTGCGTACAATCTGTTTATTCAGAAAGAAAGTAAATAGTGCCATCTTAAATGGGACAGCTAGTATAACCTCGATGAAAGGTTGATTTTCATTCTTGGTCATCACGTTAGGGGAATAGTGTTAAGGTGTTTTGTTTTGCCAGAAACTTCGATTAAAAAAAAGTTATTAAAGAAAACTACGTAAGAAAACTCGCTGTTTTAAATCTTGTATTAACAATGTAGAAAGCACGGTATACAGATTTTAAGTTGTCATTGACGTATTTCCGGGTCCAACTGCTCACAAAAACAGCTAAAATAAAGCTAAACGTGTTTTCATTTATTTAACTTCGAGAAACAGTAAAAACTCTGCATAGCAAATACTGTTGTGAAGAGAAAGTAAGAAAACAATTTAATAACTTGCTTTTTTTAGGACTGGTCTGGAAGTCGTTATTTCGTACGATTGACGTCACACTTATTAACTCTGTTTCCGCAGAGCAAACAGAATGTACGAATAGAACCCGCACAAGGGAGCTTGCGCTCCTTGTTGTCCTCGACTTGAATTGTTTTTCGACGCATTGAGTGTTATTTAACAATTATTCGCCGAAGGCGAAGTGAATATCGGGGAATAATAACCGGAACGAAGTTGAGGTTATAATTCCCGATATTCACTGAGCCTGAAGTGAATAATCGTTTTAGTATAAATACACAGGGGATTCTTTCAACAACAAAAAAAATAAATAAATAAATAAAAATAAAAAAAAAGATAAAAGAGACATTTATTTTCGGTAAGAGCAACAAAGCGGCTGGCCGCCATTTTGGATTATCGCTGGAGGTGATTATCGTGTGATAATCTGAATTTCTCGACCAATCAGCGCGCGAGATTTTCAATAATCACCTGTGTATTTATACTAAACCAAGTTACTTAGCTTGGGCTTCTTGTGAAGTGTACGAGAAGCGCCGCGAAGGCTAATGTTTAGACTAAAAGTACGGGAATGAGCGGTACGTACAATACAAAAAATTGTAGTCAAATATTTTGTTATACTTTGTACCTACATATTGAAATATTATGTTACTGATCCGTTAGAAATCACTTGTAACCATAGAGCAAATTTGAAACTAAAATCCCGCTTAAATTTCGCATGCTTTCAGCTCGACCCCCTTGAGCTGCACCACTGCTGTACCTTCGGTGGTGATAAGCGATGACAAGTTATTTTTCTTGTGTGTGTGTTTTTAGAAACTCGCCCCAGTGCTTCTCAGTTCCGATGATTATCGGTTCTAGTCCTTCACGGTTTTAGCATTTCCAATAATTAAAAAGCACTGGAGTGAGATTCTCTCTGGAATACAGGAGTATATTGCCTTATAAATTCTAATCTACTACACCTTAAAAAATAAAAACCTTGTTTGGGTTGCCTGTGGATGAAACCAAGAGGTCGCTTGAAAAATCCTAAGTTCACGTGACAATCTGCTTATACCTCATTATATATTTTAACTTGTAGACGAGTTTGCTTACTGTTTTCACAATTTGGACATAAATTGCATTTATTTAGTTTCCTTCCTATATTACCACTGTCTTGCATTTCATGGAATTTATTTCCCAAAACATGTTTTGTCTTGCTTCTTAGGTAGACTCAAGAATTGTCTACCTACAGCTTATTCTTGATAGATACCATAAACCGAAGCAGAGGCGAATAAAGTATCGTTACAAAAGGATGAAGAGGCAACACGATCAAACGACGCATCCCATAAACATCTACTAGCGATCCTTACGTCCTGGTTGTTGATAGACCCGATGTGTACAACACACACCAGTTTGTATCGATCATACCCGAGTAACTTAACTTTACCCTTGATCTCTTCTGTGATTGGTACGAGAAGTTTCCGACAGCATTCAGCGCTGTACGACAAATCACTCAGCCTTTCCTTGAGGATGTTTTCAATGATGTCAGCCACTGGTTTCGTCTTGAATCGTTTATTTTCGTCTGGTTCTGTCTTGTAGCTGTTGAAGTACTTGGGGGTACGATGTGAGGCTTCGCTGAGCGGATGCGCAAATCGTGGCATAGCAATAGACTTTCTTCGACTGCCATATAACGTGCTAGATTGAGACGAGGTGGAAAGTCGTCTATTATTATATCGGGCAGCCATGTCTGGCACTGCTAAAGATGGCCTGCGTGAATGCAGTGCATCAGGTGCAAGAGAATTGCGATGACTTGAACTATCACTGGTATGCATCATTGAAAACTCAGACCTTGACTAACTGACTGACTGACTTTTTTTTCATCCAAGAAGAATACCTCTTGAAACTGAGCTATCCTCCAGAGTTTCGAACCCTTGCAGCACCGTGCTTTACCAGCGATATTGAGTCTTCTCCTTTTTTAATTAACTCATCAGCTAATTTCTTTATGCCAAGTTTATAAGTATCACTAAAACCAACCTCTGTACTCAAAAGCATTATTACTCTTCAAGTCATTATGGACAACCAATTCATACAAAAGAACCTTTGACAGCCGAAGTATTAATATATAAATAATTAAGTCATTTTCTCGCTATAAACCAATGAAGAATTGTCCACTAATTATACCCAGACAAAAGATCGTTGCAAGGTAGATTAATTGTCCCTGTGGAGTAATAAGAAGTCGATATTACTTTTTCTTTGTTTACTGATGTTAAGCAAGTTACTGTGCGAGAAATGTCAAAAAATGAGAGCAGTTTTTGAATGCTTAGTCTCAAACCATTGTAAACTTTGAACGGAGTAGCGTCCACAAGCTGTCTTCTTTTACAAGGCAATCACACTTTTAGACTTTTCACAACAGATGGAGTTTTGATGAGAAAACAAATATTTACTAAAATGTTAAAAGAAACGTTGAGCACGCGTTGAAATCTGTGTTGTCAAATCGGACTCAAGCACCAAAAAGTATTGATCGAATGAGAAAAATACTGAAAAGTCTTTTTCTCTCGATTTAAAAAAAAAAAAATTCCATAAAAAATGACTAAATATAGTAGGATAACTTATTTATTGTTGGTTATGTAAAGTCACCGGCAAAACAAACACAAACTTCTCGACACGACTCACGAAATTAAATTTCAACACAAAATCTACAGTAAAACGTTCTTTTTATTCTCGTTTTCGATATACAGAATTTCATTTTTCGTCTCTCTTTTGTTAATTACAAAGTTCAAGTGGCTCATTGTCGCTAGTTTTGAGTTCCAAGTAGATCTTGTTGCCATGGAGATGCTGAATGTAATGACAGGAATGGAGTGGAATTTGATCAGGGGTGATAACGGGTCTGTTTACGAAGTAGAGGTGCAATAATTATAAACGTCATTACTATTTTATCGTATCCTTTTTCCTAAAATTTTCTTTTCTCTTTCCTTTTGTAAAACACTTTCTTTCTTTCCTTTTTTTTTTTTTTTTTTTTTTCTTCTTTCTCGTAAATTGATAAAATGGATATCTTTTTTGAAATGTGACGAATCTTTGCGTGTCATGCACAAGTTTTGTCATCTTTGCCTGGTTGCAATCAGCTAAATGAATATCGTTATAAGCCTATGTACAATGAAGGGCAGACCCTGCCATGTACTATTAACGAGACAGTATCTTATTGCTTGGTCAAGCAAACACTGCCCGTCATGTGCTATCCGCCAAAGAGTATTCTATTGCTTTGTATCAATCAGCTAAATGAATCGATGGATCTCATTATCAGCCTACAATGACAGGCAAACACTGCCCGTCATGTGTAATCAACAAGGGAATATGCCTATGTACAATGAAGGGCAAACCCTGCCATGTACAATTAACGAGATAGTATCTTATTGCTTGGTCAAGCAAACACTGCCCGTCATGTGCTATCCGCCAAAGAGTATTCTATTGCTTTGTATTAATCAGCTAAATGAATCGATGGATCTCATTATCAGCCTACGATGACGGGCAAACACTGCCCGTAATGTGTAATCAACAAGGGAATATTCTATTGCTTGGTATCAATGAGCTCAAGTGAGGGGCAAAATCATCCATGTATCTTTCTACTGAAAAACGGAAGCTGGCAACATTTTCACACAAGACTGAAACTTCTCATTAAAGATAGCAACTTTTTTTGTGTTAATTATTTATTGGTATTTGAGTTGATAGTTGGTCGATTTCAATAGGTGGATCTTTCTCTTCCTTATATTGAAAGTTTCAAATTCTTGCTGAACACTTAAGTGTTTCCATGGTAACGAAAAGTAACTCTCACTATAACAACATTTTTTAGGAAACGTTTTTATTTCTGGTAAAAACACCGAGGCTTGTTATCATTTCCAGTTGTGCAGGGTAATAATAAAATCGTCCAAAAGTAAAAAGGTAAAGTGAAAATAATCAATTTTAGTTCGATAACACGGGGAATGCGTTACCCGATTCTTCCGAGCCAGGGGCTCATGTATAAAGCGCTCCAACATTTTCTTCCTTTCTTCGTTGTTCTCCTCTGTGTACGCCGGCCTCCTTTGTTATCTTGAAAAATCATCTTTATAGAGCACGAAAATGAATCCCATTAATTAATATACGTAATAAACATGTAATAAAGGTCATGCGAGTCAACATTATCGATTAAGTGAATACTTCTTTACAACTTAATTCAATGATTTTCAATTCAATCGTAGTCAATGGTAAGGTTGTAAACAAATCTGTTAATGAATACTGACTTCATTTTGGCGCCAAAAAGTACGCTTGCATTTCTTAACGGTAGATACGAGTCGCCAGAATACAAAATTAGATGTTTCTTCTTATCCTTCTCCTCCGTCTATTTCTCTTTCTACTACTTTATTTCTTTTCTTATTGATTTAAGTACCCGTAGTCAATGGTAAGGTTGTAAACAAATCTGTTAATGAATTACTGACTTCATTTTGGCGCCAAAAAGTACGCTTGCATTTCGTGACCGTAGACACGAGTCGCCAGTATTCAAAATTAGATGTAGCGCAACACATGTTTCTTCGGCTTTCCTCCTTCTCCTTCTCCTTCTCCTCCACCCTCTCCTTCTCCTTCACTCTCTCCTTCTCCTTCTCCTTCTCCTTCTCCTCCGTCTATTTCTCTTTCTACTATTTCATTTCTTTTCCTGCCAGTTATCTCTTTTTTATTCTTCTATTCCCTGTAGTGTTTTCTTTCCGCTTTTGTATTATTTCTCTCTCTGCTATTTTCAAAAAATAAATAAATAAAAAGGTATTATTAACACAGCCAAGTCATTTCTATAATTAGCTCAACTTTTATTATGTTACCATAAAATATAAACTGTTGATTTTACATAGCTTAAGCCATAATTCTTTTACATTTGACCCATATTAATTCAATGGAACTCTCCTTTCGGGAACTTGGAATTATTTGGTACATAAATTTTCTCAGACCTACAACCATTCATCAATAATGTATGGATATCCTTTGGATCTAATTTACAATCAATCATATGTACAAAATAAATAATTTTACCCATAGATAGGGTTCTTTAGTTGATTGTCTAGTATTCATAAGTCTCATAATTCTCTTAAAAATCATGTGTTTACAGAATCACTTGTTGAATCCTGATAATATTCACACCGAAAGGATTGGACAAGTGTCTGTAATAACAGTGTCTTCAGAGTATCCATATTAAGTCTATTAAGCAGGTTAAAAAAGTGTCCGTAATAACGGGGTGTTCGTATCATCATGCAGGTGGTCGCAAAGCAGAGTAGCAATATAGTCCTAATCCACTACACCCCTACTCAATCGATAATAATCAGATTTGCATCTATCGTGTCTGATACAAAGCCTGTTTCAAACAAGATAATCCACTGAAGGATCACAAGATCAAAGTTGTGCCAAAATATTTCTGTTTCTATTATAACATAAATATCCGGTTCTGTTCGCTAATAGTATATACATTCTTCATTGTTTTTAAAAAAGATACACCTTTGACAAACAGCAATATTAGTAATAGATATTAGTTATCAAAAAAAAAAAACGACTTGTTGTGCGAAACTATTTGTAACATGATATTAAAAATGGTTTTGTTTTGAAATTCAATCTTAACTCGCTTGACGATTGCTTGCGGTATTTTATTTGATATCTCATTAAACTTCTCCGTTTTTTCATTTTGTCATTTATGTACCATCTTGTGTCTTAAACATACTTTTATTCTGGTATTGGCGAGGGCCTTCCGTAGCTCTTGGTAGACATGGACGTCGTCGCTGACGACCTCTTCTCGAATTTCTCATCGTAGATTCCGTAAACAGTCCCTAAAGCGTACAAGTCCTCGTTCTTATAAAGAAATTCCGCAAAATTATCTTGATCCACCGACGTTTTAGCGTTGTCCCAGACACATCCACTCTCCACTGCAGGTGCTGGCTTAATCCTTTTAGTAATGAGACAAGTACAAGCAAACTTGTAGTGAGGCATCTGAAGTTCGCTCATCTTGACTTTAATGATGTTGACGATGTCCCTCACAGCAGAGCTACATTCTTTGGGACTGTAGTTTTTTCCAGACAGTTTGTCTTCCAGAACATCGTGGATAATTTTCCGAATAGTTGAACTGTTGAATGCTGAGGATTTTGGCTTCAATTTTTCAGGATCGATAGGCATTGATTGCGTTCGAATACGTCGAGGGAAGTCTGCGTGTGTCATGACGAAAACACCACGGTCAGTCTCCGTCAGCTTGGGGCGTTCTGCTTGGAACAGAGACTTGCTGCGCTCTCGAGTCTTAGGCGGATTTATATCCTTAAAGTCCGGGTCCCCCTTTGTTATTCTTTCCTCTATAACCTCCATCTTTTGTTTCCTTAGGAAGCTAGCGCAGATTACGCTGAAGGCGTCTGTGACCTGCGATCCTTTCTCCTTATTTACAGCCCACGGATCTGTATAAGTCCGATCTTGGCAAGTCTTATCTATTTATAGCACCAAATACGATCGACTTATATTTCGTATCCAAAGTTAAGCTCTCCGCCAGGTGCCTCTTGGTCTTGTCGAAACTTGTGTTGTGATTTAAGGTGCGTTTCACATCATGGGACTCGAAACTCTGCTAAATAGGTCAGGCTAAGTAATCAGACTGAAGACCAAAAACACGTCACTTAGACTTGTCAAATATGTGTAAATATCAGTCGAGGGCGTCAATTAAGTGAAATGTTTTGAAATAAAAATTGTTCTGTTGATGAATTCTTTTGTGCCTTCGCCTGCCGAGGGCGTGTGGGCGTAAAAGGCTCATGCTATCTTATACTGTTTTGTTTACGTTTTACTTTATCCTAAAGAGTGATGTTTTGATGTTTTTTTTCCTTTTCTTTCCAATCCAAACGAAGCAATACGACGTACTCCTAGTTCTTTTTATCAGCGCCAGATTTTATTTTTTTCAAATTTTTCGTTGTTATGCAGACAATGAAGTACTTGTGGTGGTCTCCATTTCCGGGAAAAAGGGAAAAGAGAATCAAGGCCCTAGACCATACTTAAAAACGTATTTTTTTCCCTTATTTCTTTTCTATTTTGTTGGGCTGCCTGTGGATTTGTTGAGAATTTTCGCGCCAAAACGCGTGTGCTCGCTCCTCCAACTCTAGTACACTCGCTAAACTCTCTATTTCGTACTATTTAGTGTAAAAATAGATTAGTTTAGCGCTGCATTCTTTCTTTTTTTAAGTGTGAGAACTCTATAACCGAGCTCGGCCTATGTTATATGGATTTTCCTGTGCATTTAAATTATAAATAATAAATAATTTTGAATAAAAATTGTTAATAACATAGTATACCTTTGTTTACTTAGGCCCAAAAGTGTTCCTCATGCGGGATTTCATTTGAATGAAAAGGTGATGGATTGCTGGTTGGAAGAAAAGCTTTGGAGCCGTGTAGGCTGGAGAAAAGTTATCAGTGGCCTATTATCCTCATCATAATGTGATGGACTGAAGTAAGTAAACAAGTAGGTTTATTTTTAAAAGTACTTAAAAATTTTAAGACATGCTACCCAAATAATCATATTCGCGGCCACTGCATGATATGCCTTTCTTCCTATTTTAGTTTTCCTTTATTTTTTCCACCTTTCTCAAAAAAAATCTTAGAAATCGGACAGAAGAACAGTTGGCCGGCATCTCATAGGTATTTTATTGGCCTGTCCGCATTATCACTCTGTCCCTCCATTTTCAATTTTTACATGCAGTCTCAGCTGTCTTAAATATTTTCAAAACTTCTACACAAATGGCTGATATCTATTGTCCTTCTCGTGATCTGCCTTGCACAGTTCATTATAAATATACACAAGTTCACCCTAATTCAGTATATATACACAAATATGCAATACTTAAGAATATAATTAAAGTTAAAGAATGCTGTCCATTTTTTACAATCTTGCAAATACGGTATTCTTTCTTATCTTGTCTTCACGAGCTCTTTCTTTTTACTAGATTCTGCTCACTGTTTCGGCCCTTACTGTTGTCATGTTAGGTCAGATACCTGATCTGATCGCATTTTCGTACTGATTTGCGTGAGTAGTCCAGAATTCTCCTGTGTAACACCAATGCCATACAATACACCTGTACGTTGCTGATCATTGATGCCTAGGTTATGGTACGTCAGTTGCTGATGCGGCATTGTCGCATTTTTTTAGATGCTTTATGCTTAAGGAACTAACTGATCTGTGCATATGTCTATCAGTCATTTTCCTCGATAACAAAAATGTCAGCCATGACATCTTTAAGGTGCTTTCCAATGATTCCTAAGTTATGGTACATCAGTTGCTCTGTGGTCGCATTTCTTAGATGCTTTATGCTTAAGGAACTCACTGATCTGTGCACGTGTCTATCAGTCATGCATTTTCCTGGATAACATCAATGAGATTCATGTACGTATTGACATCTGTATGTTGCTATCCATTGATGCTTAAATCATGGTACACCTTTGTTATATGGTTGCATTTCCTAGCTACTTGCTCTAATCAATGACGTCAATTCTTTCTAAATGCTGAGTTGCACAACTAGTCACTGATCAGTTTTCAGCCATGGACCTCTGTTCCGTAATTGCATCAATTATGCTCCTAGCTGCTGTATGACCATTAACTTTTATACCCTTGTTCTTGAGCGTACTCAATCATGTTATGTAAAGATTTCTGGATGTTTCATGGAAAGTTTTAACTAAGTTATAAAAGGAGCGATTACAAGGAGCAATTTTCAAAAAAGATTTCAATTTTTCAAGTCCAAACAAGATCATTTATTTTGAAGACTTTTCTTCAGTCTCTTCCTCGTCTTCTTCGTAAATGATCTCCTCACATACCGACGAAGATCGAGACTTGGTGCTGACAATGGATTCACTCGAGCAAGATCTTGATTTTGAAAGCAGAAACTTGCTGAGACTATAATGCCCACCATCAATACCTCTAAAAGAATCTCTGATGTTTCCAAGAGACTTTGCCCTTTTTTTCTTTTTTGGCACGTCGATATGCGTTACTGTGAAGCTACCATGGTCCTGCTTTGAAGTCCGGTCAGCCTCGTCAAAGGAATTGCTTCGTGGTCGACCAAGATCTGGAAAAACAGACATTCTGATGCAATATAGATCCCAACTGCCCAAAAAGCCAAGTGTGAGCTTTCTAAAATCTTTCAATTTATCTTTACAGGAACAATTCTGCTATAGTGCCTATTTAGTTTTGCTTAAAACCTCAAAAAAGAGCATTGTTTTCAGTCTTGTGGCAGAGTTGTTTACCATTCACAGCAAAATCAGTTTTTTAATGCGCAATCCTGAAGTCTATTACTATAGGTTGTTTGTACGCCTAATGGTCTTTGATAAAGTATCCTCTTGGGGGTTAGAAGTATGATAAGTAATTGACTACTATTTGATAATTATTTACACAATCCGTTGACATTTCCCGCTCATAGAGCTAGCAGCCTAGTTTTAATTAAGTTCTAGCATAAAATACCTTTCTTTGTACTTCAAAACGAGTGATGTTTCTGGCAAACATGAAAATTTTCTGGACCAATATTTATTTGGTAGTCACGTTTATTACCTTCTTGTATTTCACGTGACTGCAAGACCATGAGTAGTGATTACAGTTACACGATGTCTTAGGGTTATTCCCTATGCTGGATACTAAAATCAGCAAACTCTCATTTAAAAACACATTATTTAATGTATTATCAGTATAACAGTACCCATGTTACATTAGCTTACACTAGCTGGCATATCTAATTAGAATTTCAAACACTTTTTAATGTAGAAGGGGATTAGGGATGGCTTCGTATACGCACTATGTGGTATGTTGTTTGTACAAATGAATACCAGTCAGCTTGGACAAAAGACCCCTTGATTCATTAACAAGTTTAATACCTGTTTATTCCTGTTTAAACGAAAGTCAAAGGTGACATTTGTCATTGCGTTCACATGAGAACTTTACTACAGAGGTTTTGATAAAGCTGTGCTTTTTTAACTTTACCGCTACAAAGTTTTTGATAAAACCGTGTTTTTTTTTTAAAGTGCTTGCAAAAGTTGTGCATGGGCATTTTGACTAAATCACTGTTACTTCTAGGAGCTTAGGATTGAAGTGCAAATGATTAAGGATAACCCTTTTGTCTTTGCTCCTTTTAATAGAGTAGATACTGAGGCAATGTTTTATTGCACACGGAGAAATGTACGTGCTGATGCACCATAAATAGTGCACCATTACCTCTCCTGTACTTATAAATTGGGCATTAAATATCCATCCATCCATCCATCCATCCATCCATCCATCCATCCATCCATCCATCCATCCATCCATTTTCATTTTCTACTTTAATAGCTCAATTAGATTTACAAATCATCATCTACTTTACAAGCCGATACAAGCAACTAGCACCGATTATAACTAATAATGATTGATTGAGATGACATAGAGAGAGAAAAAAACATTAATATAATTTGAAAACATCATAGGGCAAAAAATATATAATTTCAGCTTTAATTTGTCTCATTCTTAATTTGAAATTTTGTAGTTTTATAGTGAACCAATACAGAGTTGTTCTTCCAAAGCAATGGAAAACTTGAATTAGTCATAGCTTTATATATACAGAATGGTACATAATAGATATGCGATTTAATGAAAAGAAATAGATATATATATCAAGGGATTTAAAACGCGCGCGCATGTCTTTGGATTGTGATATAAACATGTTGGGAACTTTAAAGCAAGAGATAATTGAGCTTTGGAACACGAGGCGTAGCCTGGTCTGATTTTCGAGTGCTCTCTGTCCTCTGATATAAACACGGTAGCCAGTCAGGCAATCAGTGCGCGCGTAATCTTTCAAATATTTTATAAATATATAAAAAAACATATAAATAATACAATAGAGTATTAGTTATTATCGTACTATGTCACTGATATGAGCTGCTTCAAGTTGCCTGAGAAAAACTCTAGCTTCGTCCGGTCTTTTGCCTCGGTTTCTCACAACAAACACCATACACACTCCCCACGGCAGAAATACTGTCATTTTGGAACACATAATCAACAAAGCTGTCTTTATCCACAGTCGCTAAGAGTTCATCCCAAGCGCATCCGCTGTCCATTTTCATTGAAGGCTTGGCTCGCTTTGAAATATAAAAGGTGCAGACAATTTTGTAGTTCTTGATTTCCAACGCAGAAATTCTCTCCTTAACGGCGTTTGCAAGTTGACGGCACACACTTTCACATTCCGTAGAGTCATATGTTCTTGACTGTAGTTTCTGTTTCACTTCGTGTTCCAGTATTTCGTAAATGAGTTCTCGGTCAAAGCCCATGCCTTCGGAATGAGACATCTTTGACGCAGACCTTGACATCGAAGCAGCAGGAAAATCTGCGTGTGACAGAATAGACGCACCGATGTCGTTATCGCATTTTTCTGTCTCAAACAATGATTTTCTTCTTCTGGCTCTTCCGGCCATAACTTTTGCCTGTATGACGGCACCAAAACTTAGTGTATCAGATTGGGAGTCAGTGTTTTCATTGGAATCTTTTGCTGATTCTCTTGATGATGAAGGTGCCAAGACAGGGGAGGATAAATAAGTACTTTCCATTCTAATGAAGTCCTTCGTGGATGGACTGATAACTCCGATTAGTAATATAATATCAGACTTTAAGACGACTTCTTGTGGTTGTTGGAAGGATTCGGCACTTGCACACCTTTAGGAGAAATTAGAGAATATTAACGAAATTATACCATATTTTACTAAGTTCATTAGTGACCGTGTTATTGATAGAAGCTAGTATGCTTTGTGTCAAAACTCACCTTCTTAATTTGGATGTTCTGGTATAGTTATCAAACAAGTTATCAAACAAGTTACACAAGTTATCAAACCGTGTGAAAGTCCCAAACCTTTTTCCCTTTGCCCTTCTGATAACCACGGTACCATCTAGCACATTTTCTGGCCTTGCCAAACACTCTTGTGTGAGTTTAATATGTTTACGCATTTTAAAAGCAAATTCTGTTGTAAAGACAACCCCATTGTTCACAATAAGCCGTCCATTTGCTTAGATCGTAGTCGCTATATCCAAACACAATAGCCCATGTATTTGTGCAATGATGCTACGGATTCACAATGCATTACATCCCATTGAAATGTACTACTTATCCGTATTAACGTTGGCATGACAACGGTCCCAGGGGACTTTGGGGTCTTCGTCAAGCAAAACGTAATTAGGGACAAATAAGCCAGGTTCTAGTGTTTAACAAAACAATCTATTTTAAAGTTCTTATAGGTCGTTATTTCAGTCTTGTTTTCCTAATAATTGACGTCATTGGTGCTGTCCAATTGTTTTATTATCACTAGATAGAGTTATATAAATGACTTTTTATAATATTTGTTTAGCTAATTAAATGACTGAGTAATGGTGCTAATTTTAAAAAGAGATAACTAGCTAAAAACTAGTGTGAGCTGCGTCGGTGTTTCTAATGAAACATTAATGATAAAAAGGTAAATTATACACCGTGAAAAGTTGAAAAAAATTACTGACGTTTAGTCCTTCGTCGGAGTAAAAGAGAAAGAGGTGCTAATTTTACATTAGTTCTTTCTTCAGGAGGGTTGGATTAGTAATAATAATAAATGGATTATATAAGTGCTTCCTATAACGTCTCAAAGAATACTGTATTTTTTTTTGTAATATTTTTGTTTTTGTTTTCTGCTTCTGCTACTGCTGTTTGTATACTATATACCGCACGGCTGCTGCTGTTTCTATACTAAATACTGCTACTGCTGCTCAGTGCTGCTGCCACTGCTATTGCTACTGCTACTGCTACTACTACTGCTACTGCTACTGCTACTACTGCTGCTGCTGTTGCTGCTGCTGCTACTGCCACTGCTACTGCTACTGCTGCTGTTACTGCTACTACTACTGCTACTGCTACTGCTGCTGCTGTTGCTGCTACTGCTACTACTACTGCTACTACTACTGCTACTACTACTGCTACTGCTACTGCTGTTGCTGCTACTACTACTGCTACTACTACTGCTACTACTACTGCTACTACTACTGCTACTGCTACTGCTACTGCTACTGCTGTTGCTGTTGCTGCTACTGCTACTGCTACTACTACTGCTACTACTACTGCTACTACTACTACTACTGCGACTACTACTGCTACTACTACTGCTACTGTTACTGCTACTGCTACTGCTACTGCCACTGCTACTGCTACTGCTACTGCTCTGCTACTGCAACTGCTACTGCTGCTCAGTGCTGCTGCCACTGCTACTGCTACTGCTACTGGTGCTGCTACTGCTATACTGCTACTGCTACTGCTACTGCTAGTACTGCTGCTGCTGCTACTGCTGCTACTGAATTAATATCGAATAGCTAGAAATGTATTATTTCATAAAAGTCATAATTAATTGCACATTAAATTCATTTTGTCGGTTGTTTAAAAAAAAGAAATCTTTTTTCTTTATATAAACTTAAAAACGATAAATTAAACTTTCTTGCAAAAAATGACTTTCCTTTTAAGAGAACGCCTACAGTCTATGAGTCATAATTGTAATTTTCAAACTCCCACTTCTTCCTTACGCTTGTTTTTCTTTCTAAGCGACTTGAGCACGCGATACACACTTTATTACAAGCCAATCACTGCTACTTTCTACTCACCGGCACCTTTGAGACCATAACTGCATTTTTAAATTCGTATTCCTATAAATTCACTTTTTGTATACAGCTATTTCAAAAAAAAAAGGTTGAATACTAAATACTGCGTACTGAATAGTGCATTCCAAGACCAGTATGCAGTATTCAGTATTCAACCTTTTTTGAAATAGCATGTATTTGACGTTTTCTTTATGCCTTTTTGCCCGTTTTATAATATCAATATGGCGTTCAAATCAATTTTTTTCACATTCATTCTGGTTAAAACGTTTCGGGAAATTAAATGAAAAAAGGCCTTAAAAATATGGAAAGTTAACAAAAACACTTCTACGCTTAAAAACTATATAAGTTATGTTTTATAATATTTATATGGCGTTCAAATAATTGTTTTCATTTTCATTCTGGATAAAACTTTTTGGAGTTATTCGGCAAGATATGCACAATTATTATTTTTCTTGTTTTTTCTTTCTTTCTTTATTTTATTTTTTCAACCAAGTTATAAATAGCATATGGCATATATATCTAAATAATATACGATATAAACCCATAAAGTCGAGGCGTAAATTACAGGGGGTGGACGATTTTGATGATAAATGGAATTGAAATTACTGTTATAATGATTGCCGGAATGCGTAAATATTCTTCATATGAATTATATATGATATGACATATAGAATATGACATTTTCTGTTTTATACGTGAGTGATCTGCTATTTACATGTTCTCAAGAATTTTTTTTAAATTTAATTTTTTTTTTTTTTTCCAATGGGTTTTTTTCTGAGTTCTCTAGCTTGCCTACGCTGCGCAACACGCTAGTATACCAATTCGATCTTAAGATAATTGTGCCCTGACATGATCAGCTCAAATCCTATTTATTTATTTATCATTTTCATTTATTTCAGGGGTGGTTTCTATTAATAAAATGTGAAAATCTTCTTTTTTTTTTACATCCATCATTTCAAATAAACTGCTTTGTAATATTAATTTTATGAGAATCATTCAAGAGAGGAAAGACAATACTACAATACTGTGAATTTATTGCTTTTATTTATATATATATATAATAATTGTTTAATGTATAGAATGTATACATTCTGTGTAATGTATAAAATGTATGTATAATGTATAATTTCTTAAAGTTATTTTGTTGCCTTTCTTTTTCTTTATTCCTCTTTTTCTTTTCAATTTCCATCCCGTCACTCCTTTCTATTTTTCATGTCGTCTTCCTTTTGTCCTTTCCTTTCCTTTCTCGCATTTCCTTTTATTCATTTCAGTCCTTTGCTTGTCTTTCATTTATTCGACTGTGATTTTTCTCTTCTCTTCTCTTTCTTCTTCTTTTCTTTTAATTTTCCATCGTGCATTCTTTGCTCATTTAGACTACAATTCCTCTTTCATTTCTATTTTGATCTATTCGTTTAAAAAAATTCTAATTACTATTCCCTTAGCTTCTTGTCTTCCTTCGATTAATGATTGTTAGTTAACGAATTTTCTCTTAAAACAATATTCTAGTTTCGATATTGCTTTATTTTGTTCACTTGGTATTTGATTGCTTTTTCAAAAACGAATATATTTTCTCTTTTGTATTAACCAGGGGAGATCGCTTCACATATATAAACACCTTCAACGATATAACAACATTTTGCCTATAAAACACACTTATAAAATTAATTAAATGTTTTGCGTACAAGATTTTAGTATCCGTTAGCTTTTTCAATTGAAAATTAACAACTGTTAAATAATTATACAAATGCAAGCTTAAACATACTCATTCATTCTGTAAATAGTATAAAATATCTCTGAAAGGTGTTCAGGGGAAAAACTGAAGTTCTAAAGCTTTAGGGTTCGAGAGATACCTTTGGCAATGCTTCAGTATGGTTTATATCCCAATTTATATCCGTTGTCTATTTTGGTGACTTTGAATCTTGAGCAGTAATCAAGAAATAAAAACGTCATCCCAGTCATAAATAATTCTATTTTCTTATTGGAATATTTATCTTATAGCAAAGAGGTTTTGGCTTAGCTTTTTCTTTCTCGTCAACAATAAATCTTAACCGCTTGATATATTTAATATCAGAGTTTCAATGAAAAAACAACTGACAAAAGGGACGCCAGACAGTCGTAGCCATGTTGAATGTATTTACTTGCAAAACATACCCGCTTATTGAAGTGCGTTGGATAAAATTAACAGTGACATTTTGAATGTAAGTCCTAGTTACTACAACTTATGTCGATAGCTCTTTATTATTTCTCTTGAAGGACAACCTAGTATTGAGCTCTTATTTATGGTATATTTAAGGCAAATTTGTAGACAAAAAGAGGATTTCTCGATGCGGAAGCGAAGAGTCTTAGATAAAAGGAAATGTCTTAATCCTGAAGAACTACTTCATCATGGCTCTAGTGCGGGCTTTAGATGATGGCTGTGAATACATCCTGGGGTTAAATTCGGGTCTAATTTCGTCCCCCGAAATCTTAATTCATAAAATAGCCCAGCGCTGAGACCAATATTCAAACGACCAAATGTTGCCTTTATTCGGTCTATTTATTCTAATTATTCCATGTGGGCTTTGAATAATTTATACTCAAATGACAAATGAAAGCTTTCTGTTGTCTTTATATAATACACAATGCGCGAATGGAAGTACAATTTTAAAGTAAAATCGCTTGATAATTCTGAATACTGGAAGCTATACAGACATGGGAAGTCGTTCTAAATTGACCTCAAAGATTATTAACCAGATATGAGCTCGGCTAAGTCACTAAATGTTCACCGTGGATACCTTCTTCATTACCCAGACGGATTGATTCTCCCTGTAGATTGAGTGATTGTGTTATTATTTAGCAGGTTTTTTAATGGGATATGAAAACCTTGGCTCCAATGATTAAATGATGCACTTCATTTCGCTAAGGTGGAACTTGTCATTTTAGTGCCGCCATAAAGTAACTCATTGCGCTTGATTTCCATGGAAGAAAAAATAACGACTAAACTAACTGTGTTCTTTTTTATCCGCTGTCATAAAGATAAATTGAAAATTTGCAACGACTAAAAACAACGACTAAACTAACTGTGTTCTTTTTTATCCGCTGTTATAAAGATAAATTGAAAATTTGCAACGACTAAAAACAACGACTAAACTAACTGTGTTCTTTTTTATCCGCTGTTATAAAGATAAATTGAAAATTTNTGTATTTGACGTTTTCTTTATGCCTTTTTGCCCGTTTTATAATATCAATATGGCGTTCAAATCAATTTTTTTCACATTCATTCTGGTTAAAACGTTTCGGGAAATTAAATGAAAAAAGGCCTTAAAAATATGGAAAGTTAACAAAAACACTTCTACGCTTAAAAACTATATAAGTTATGTTTTATAATATTTATATGGCGTTCAAATAATTGTTTTCATTTTCATTCTGGATAAAACTTTTTGGAGTTATTCGGCAAGATATGCACAATTATTATTTTTCTTGTTTTTTCT